TTAGCTGGCATCTATCTGAGTAGGAGATATTTCGATGTTCCCTGCCTAAAAGTTTCCTAGTAAAACTTCTTTGAACATTTTCAATTTTGAACGACTAGCCTCGTTCATCAAACCAAAAAGTGAGCTACAATACTCCAGAATGTGAATTACAAATATTCGACCGATCTCTCAGATTGATAGCGTCAATGGTCGGAAGATTGCAGCTAGAGTCATTGCGTAAACGGAAGCAAAGTGCAGCTTCGTGTCTTTTTACCCACGACTTGAGAGAAGAATTTCCGAGTGAAAACCCTCTGAATATTTTTGATCTTATAACGGTCACAGGCGTTTATTAAACCAAAGAAAGGGCAGCAGTACTCGAAGGCAGGAAGAACAAACACTGGATAAATTCCTGGCTTCATTTCCGGAAGGAAAAATATTTGCGATATGAACCCACATATCTGTGCGGCTTTGGTGATAAAGCAAGTTTATTAGTATAACTGAAACATAGGTCCGTTATGTTGAAGCATTCTGAGAGTGGGTTATTCTGAAAAATTATGGGACCAGAAGGTTTGGTAGGACTTAAAGACATGAAACTACACCTAGGCGATGAAATCTGCGTCTGCCACGTTGAACTCCATCTCCTTACATATAGTAAATCGACGCTAATTTTTTCAACACACATTTTCGGTGCTCTTAGAATATGAGTAAACACACTTGAGGTCATCGACATAAAAAAAAGTTTGAGAATTTCCGAGTTCAGTCGAAATATCATTGATGTAAATGATGAAGAGTAGCGGACCCAGAACCGTACCTTGAAGTACGCCACTCGTGATCGAGTGAGGTGTCGAGTAGCTATTACCGACCATGACTTTCTGATATCGGTTGGACAGATAGGACCTGATGAAGTCGAGTAGAGGCGGCCGGATGCCGAGAGCTTCCAATTTTACTAAAAGACGTCTAAGATCAAAGAAGTTAACTACCACTGGCTGCTCATTACGATGACAAGTGATTAGATTAAGAAATGCCTGGTGGCAAGTTTTGCAGGAACGCCCAGGTAAAAATCCATGCTGATTAGGGCTCAGAAGCCGATTAGCTAGACAGAAGTCAAGAATTTCATTGAAAATAATCCTTTCAAGAAGCTTTGCTAGAGACGGTGTTTTGTGACGCCCCGGCATTTATTAACATCGGACCGAGATGCAGACTTGAAGACGGGGATGATAATTGACGTCTTCCATGTCTCTGTAAAAAACCCTTTTGAAATATAAACCGAAAATAAATGACTAAGCAATATGCGAAGGTCAGATGCCTGTTTAATAATCGAATTTGGAATCCCGTCTGTTTTCCAGCAGTGTGATTTGTTCAAAAAACTCATATTTTTCTTAATGAGATCTGAGGGGGCGTTGATTTTACTCAGTGTCCTATCTGAAAGAGAACGAAAGAAAGGATCTGGTTCGGACCGAGCAGTAGGGTTTTTGCCAAGAAAGCACTAGACAGTTCGGCGTTGTCAGTGTCATCGATGAGGAAGATTTTGTTATCGTTTGGCAAGGGATGGGATTTCGTGACCAAGCTTGGAGGAGGACCGATTACGGAAGGTTTTAGCGACGGATTTGACAGGGTTCGGGTCACTGAGAGCGAGTGATTTTCTCTGCCTAGCGTGCGCTTGGCGCATCCTGGAGGCTATTTTAAACAGCTTTGTGATTTTAAGGTGAAATGATAAAGGACTAGAAACACATATATAGACAGTTAACAGTCTTCACAAGACCGACATTTGTAGAATCGATACTGAGCAGTTCTCAGTTGGTCATTCTCTATGAAACGTCACATCTCCTTTTCTTTTATCAATGTCTATACGATTTTCGAAACTGCTTAGATGGTGTTTATTGGCCGAAAATCATCAAATGACGTAGATTGGCAGTTTTTGGGGATAGGCAAAACGTGCGAGTCCTTCCGCAAGGTGGGATAAGTTTCAGTTTAGCGAGCGAGATTAAGTACTTTATACAGGAACGACGCAAAAACCTTATTTGCGTCCGCTTTCGAAATGCTGACTGTGACACCATCAGGTCCAGGGCTATGAGATTAATGAAAACGCCGAATCGCTATAGTTACGTCCCACAGATTGAAACTTATAGTTTCGAGAACGGCGTTGGTCCAAGCCTGGATGGTCGGAAGCGGGGCGGTCGAATTTTTAATAAACGCTTCGTAAAAGAATGAGTTGAAATTGTGGGCGGTCAACTTGGCGTCTGATACAGGATTTCCAAGGCCGTCTGGGAGGATAGGAGGCTGCGTTTTTCATATGAGCTCTTACTTTTCCAGAGAACAGTTTTGCGACATTCAACAAGCAGTTTTCGCTGAATTGCACCTCTTCGGCCATCTGTTTTTCTTCAGACAACTTTTTGACCAGCTCAAAAATATGACAAATTGAGGACAGAAAGGAAACGTCTTTCTAGACACGGAATCACCGAGGTAGACTACGCGACCGATGGCGAAAGGTTAAAGGAAGGAGAAACCGCTGCCCACCATTAATAAATAAATGAATTTTTTTATTGGGCACTCTTGGGGGCACTATCATGTTATCTTCTCATGGAAACAAGACGAAAAATAAGCGGATCCAGAATTTCAAACAATTTAGCTACGCAAACATTCACACCCGAAATTAGGAAGGAATCAGTCCAATTGTTGGAAGGAAGGTGTGCTAATATGTCTGCCGAACGGGTTGATCGGAAATCGAAGAAGAAGCAGTGCTTTCGGGCAAAATTTTATCATTCTCCAGTTTTAACATAGGAACATCTACGTCGTGCTCTGAGCCCCAAATGGGCTTAGAGATGACAGGGACAAAGCGTGAAACCTATACAGGAAATTAGCTCATGATTTGCCTACTATAACTGTCGCTTGTTCTGTTACTGCTACTACCTCCGACGATGGACTCCTGTACGAGCCTGAAAGCTCAGGACAATAAACAAAGTGTTCCGGTGCTCAATTCTTCATCTTCACTTAGGTCAGGTTTGCTTGGTCCGCAGGTTAGAAACTCGATTACCTTATTCCACATGCCAATATCCACATTCCCAAGAAAGCATCCGAACTTTTGGGGCCGGAAGGTGGAGCACAGCGGACTTCAGGAAGAATGAAGTCGCCTACAACCAACTGATGCATAAAGTTTAAGTCAGCTGCGGCATGAAATGCCTGTGAGTGATGAAAATTAAGATCCTCAGTGGCGTTGGATGGGCGATAGACAGAGCCGACGGGTAAAGAGCAATTACCGTTTTAAAGCAACTTGAGACCGGCAGTTACCTTCTAATTTGTGAAAATGCGGGAGGTCCAGAGGCAGAAATGCATGTGTTTGCTTAGCATAGGTGCAACTTCCCCAACCCGGACGCCTTGACGGTCATTTCGATTGCGAGTATAGCCTAGATGAGAGAGAGCTCAGAGTCAGCTGTGGAAGGCATTGCCCATGCCTCAGTTACTAAAGCAATATTCGACACTTTGTGGCTCCCTTATATTATACCGTCATGCACACTTTTTAACGATATCGCCTACTACCCCGAAAATGTCCTGGAGTGCTCGGAAATACAACAACGACGACAACAACAACGACGACGACTACTACTACTACTACTACGCCTCTAACCCAAATTCTGGTAGTAAGTAATAGGTTCTTGGTAATAGTGATCGACGTGCAACACCTCTTCGTAAAATGGATAATAGAAACAGAGGTTTCAACAGTATTTAATCCCACCCGACCAAAACTTGTCTGCGCATGAGGCAGGAAATGAGGGATTGACTGGATTTTCGAAAATCGGCACGTGTAGTAATTGATCCGGCCAGGTAGCATACGGTAAACTGTTTCGTCGATGATTTGATTACGTCCGCTTCTCAGTAAGCAGCGCCATCTTCCGTTTTCCTGTGTTTCGATATCTTTCGTCTATCGTTATCTTCAAACCTTGGATTTTTTATTTAGACGGTTTATCCACATCACGTCGGTCCCCTTGCTCCACCGTCTCTAATCTCCATCATCGATTCTGCAGACGCACCACTGCTAAGCTTGGACTAACTAACGTGGCAGGTCCTTACAGGAGGGAAATATCATGTCTACAATTCTGAGGATGCAAATCCAGCTCCCTGAATAAGCTTCGTCATTTGTTATCGAAATCAAGAATCACATGCGCGTTTAAACACACCGCCACCACCACTCCGCGGCACTTTTGGAAGACAGTCGTCATGCGTGCTTCGGGCAAGGTTTGCGTCTGAGCATTCTTTTCCTTACAGTTATGTAGCTTAAGCTGTACATCGTTGTGGGCAGAAAACTGCCTTCGAATAAGGATCCCAAGCCATCTCCTTATCGGATGCGCATCTTCGCCCCAGATTCCGTGACGGCAAAGTCGCGTTTTTGGTACTTCATCAGACAATTGAAGAAGATGAAGAAGGGGAACGGAGAGATAGTGTCCTGCAAGCGAGTATGTTAGTCTTGTCGTCGACTTTTTTCTTTGTCAATTTTTGACAATTGAACCTTTAGGACAGTCGGTTCGAACTATTTTCTGACTTTGAAGTCTTAATGCCGATCTAGACGGCCTACCACGCATGATCACTGGCTGACTAATGTACGTTCTTCGGCTAAGCTCATGCGCATACTAATCACTTTAGGGAGTTTCCTCCTATAAAGTGACAATCTGTTGTGAACTCATAGTCACAAAATAACCGTATTGGAGACGGCCGGAGATGCCCCTTTCTATGTCAGCCTAGGATGATTTTCTCTGCTGTCACCATCTGATCCTTCCAACCGCTTTCCGTGTTAGATCTTGCTGAATTAGAAGGACAGCCGGAACTTCAAAACTGTTAGAACTCGCCTTGACAGTGACTCGTGTTTCGCTCTCTTTAGTGTCGTTGCCAGGTCTCATGCCGAACAACCCACTTTCACTTGTCACAAGCAGTTCCATCCGTGGGTACTGTCCGCCGTAATCGTAAAGTAGTATTTGCGCGTCACCCGCGACTTGTCGGTGCAGATTTTCCTTTCCACGTGTACGACTGATAATCTATCAAATCCTCTGGAGGCGTGGGTCTTCGGCGCGCCTTCCGACACCAATAAACAGCTTCACGGGCTCATTTTATCTTGGGCATCGGTGCTTGTCGAACGAATTGCTGGGGAGAAGCCTAGGAGATCCGAATTCATACCGGCCACCGAGTCCTGCCTGGGTGGCTGGGCGTTATGCTTCGTCAAAACTTCGTCCTTTGTTGGAATCCTATCTTTTCCCTGTAGTGGGTACATTTGGCCTTGCTACGCAGTGGTCCCTTATCGCGACATTTTCTCGATGTACATGAAGGGCCATAACCAACTAGTCGCCTTTTTACTGATTGATCGGCAAAGTTAGCATTCAGATAAGAGTTAAGTCTTCATGGGACCCCGGGTCTCCTGTTTAAACATTGCCGCATGCTTACCGGCCCCTAAGCATAGCTTCGTGGGCTCATTGTAATGCGGATAGTGATCCTCTTGTAGGTTGTTACAGGAGAAACAGTTCTTAGAATCCCGCATTCTTACCGGCCATCGAGTCTGTCTTGGATGGCTAAATGCTATGCGGAGACCAAGGCTTCTTCTTCTTGTTGAAGCGACATCTCGTTCCTGCCTTGAGTACATTTATGTTTGATGGTTAGTGGTGCATATGAAGGATTATGGCTTACTAGTCACTTCTTTACTGGCGGGTTGATGAGATTAGCAACTAGGTATTCGGTTTTAGGTTTTTTAGGACATGAAACCCAAATTCCCCTGTTTAGACATAACCACATGCTTACCGACCCCAAAACATAGTTTAGTGGGCTCATTATTATGCGGGTAGAGATTCTAATGTAGATTATTACAAGAGAAACAATCCGAGAAGTCCGCATTCTTACCGGCCATCAAGTCTACCTTTAATGGCTAAATGTTATGCGGAAATCAAAGCTTTTTTATCTAGTTGAAGCAACATCTTGTTCCTGTATTGAGTACAATTACGCTTGATATACAGTGGTCCCTTATCGCTACATTGCTCGGTGCATATGAAAGGCCATGACCGACTAGTCGCCTTTTTATCGACTGATCGGCAAAGTTAGCATTCAGACACGAGTTAAGTTTTCATCGGACATGGGACCCCGGGTCTCCTGTTTAAGCATTGCCGCATGCTTACCGGCCCCAAAGCATAGCTTCGTGGGCTCATTGTAATGCGGATAGTGATCCTCTTGTAGGTTGTTACAGGAGAAACAGTTCTTAGAATCCCGCATTCTTACCGGCCATCGAGTCTGTCTTGGATGGCTAAATGCTATGCGGAGATCAAAGCTTTTTCTTTTTGTTGAAGCGACACCTCGTCCCTGCCTTGAGTACGTTTATGCTTGGCAAGCAGTGGTCCCTTATCGCGACATTTAGGCGCTTCATATAGAAGTTGGGCGCTTCATATAGAAGGCGATGACTAACCAGTTGTCTTTTTGCCGGCTGGTCGGAAAAAATGGCAATTAAGTTTCAGCATTTAAGTTGTATTAAGACGTAAGATCCCAGGTATCCTGTTTAGACATGACCGCATGCTTACCACTCCCAAAACATAGTTTCGTGAGCTCATTGTGACACGGATAGTGATTCTCTTGTAGAGGAACGACCCGAGAAGTCCACATCCTTACCGGCCATCAAGTCCATCTCGGATATTTAAATTCAATGTGGAAGTCGAAGACTTTTTGTACCGAAGCTGCATGTTGCGTTTTTCTGTCATTTTGTGATTACATTATGTTTCTATTGTCTAGCTTCACCCCAAGAAACCGCTGACCGTCAAGAACTACGGTGTATGGATTCGTTATGACAGTCGCTCTGGCACGCACAATATGTACAAGGAGTATCGTGATCTCACCGAAGAGGGCGCGGTGACTCAGCTTTACCGTGAAATGGGAGCCCGCCATCGCGCACGTGCAACTTCAATTCAGGTGATCAAAGTTGAGGCCATTCCTGACTCCAAGTGTCGTCGTCCCCACGTCACCCAGTTCCATGATCGCAATCTCAAGTTCCCTCTTCCTCATCGTGTCACCCGTCGCCTCCATGCGCCGCGCTTCACTACTTCCCGGCCTCTTACCACTTTCTAAGGTGGTTGTATTGTGAATAAACATTGAATTTGGCTTATCTTGCTTGCTGTTTTCCTGGGTTTGCTCGCATTTATTAACTTGTACATGGGTACTGTTTTCATCAGTTTTGTGCGCTTCTTGCTCACACCAGGAAGGTTCGGTTCCTTGGGCCGTTGTTGTTGCACCTCAGTAAGGCATTCACCTGCCGCTGTAGCGCGTTTGTGGCAACAATTGCAATGCGCGTCAAGTACTGGGGGCTTGGTAGCAACTTCTGGCTCTGCGGTGCTTGGTTCTATTGTTTTGGTTCTTTAGGGGCTACCAACGCCATCTTCGAGTTATTGTAAAGCCATGCAGGTGCTGTGGTGTTACATGTCGGAGGAGGTCTAGTTTGCGCAAGTTTTGCGAGCAGCTGAGTTTGTTGTCTATCTCAAGACTTTCGGTGGTCACATGGCTTATTGAGAGGGTGGGTCCCGTTTTCGTAAATTGCCAATATCTCCGCCGTCTTGTTTCCCGCTATGGTGTATGTGTGGGCAGCTATACAGTCTTCATCCGGCTCGCGACCGCAAACCAACCTCTGGGAGCTGGGTCATTTCACGGACCAGGCGGCCCACGCTGGGGGATGGGTCCTCGAGTGCTAGTGTGGTTAGTTGACTCGCTGGCCTCCCCGATCTACCACCGCCGCACTTGCCTCTACTCTGACATGGTAGGATGGGTGCGGTGGGGTTTCAAAGGCAACCCTGAGGTCAGGCGTACTGAAGGCCGGTTGGCAGTCCTGACTACCCCACTCGCTGACTGGACGCACACACAAGCCGCTGTCGCTTCTATCGCATCAGCCAGAAGGGAGACGAACAAACGAGAAGGTACGAACGATAAGGGACTATAAGCGCAAGACCGTATGACCCGGAGACCCGTGCGGACCCCCGTTCCACATTTCGTACGACAAATGCTCCGGCGGTGGACGGCAGACCTGGTTGGGACGTTAGCAAGCCAAAACGTCGACAAGCACGCGGGTGAGATAGTACGAACAAAACTGGTGGACAAATTAGAACCAAGGTATTCCTGCCACCCGCCTTAGACGACCTGGCATATTGACACACAATCACATATGGACCGTTTCCCTGTGGACAACCGCGGAGGAGGCCTGACTGAACTGACACTCAATCCCAATGTAGTTCGTGGCGATCGTGCGGGGTTTGCAGACCTCCGAAGGCTTGGGAATGCCCTGTTCCCATCCCCTCTGGCTAATAACTGGCTCGGTGTAGTTGGAATTTCCTCCACCAAGCTGGCAGTCGTTGCCCGGGGGGGGGCGCTTTCTCTTGGTCAGGACTGCGGTCCGGTAGATTAACAAACTTATTCGGCCACCTCTCTCAGCCGATGTGTTGCGTCGTGGTCCGGATGTAGCAGTAAGATATGGTTCGTTTAGTAGGGTCCAGTTAGCTGCCATTCCGGTGCAAATCATGTACCCTCAGAACCATGGGCACAGTTTCCACGAATAAGAAAAACCATAATGGGATCCTGAATGTCTTGAGATCTGCTAAGGCCTGCAATGGAAAGGACCCATACAGATCTAGGGATAGCCAGCTATGATCACAGAAATTCCTCGACCAGCAGCCGGCCTAATTCCATTCTCCAATGCAGGGACTCGCTCCATTCCAAAGCAGGACGCTCGGGATTCCGAGCTCCACGTTTTTGCACTGTATGCATTGCTCAAGGTTGTTGGGACAGAATGGGCCAGACTTTTTGTGAGCATCTCTGTCTTCAAAAAAGTCCCTATGCGTAGGTCGTTTGCTCATTTTTTTGGGGTGTTATTTTTTTGGGACAACAGCGGGGAAGTGCGGATTTAAACCAAGTCCGAATCATAGCGAAGTGGATGCACACAGATTCGTCTGACGTCTTGGAGCCAGATCGTTTTGTCCTCTGGTGGAAGATATCACTAGCGTCTAGCTGCCGGATCACTAGGCAGAGGGACAAGGCAGTATTTGTTTCAACCTTAACCTGCGCCTTCTTTGGCCACTTACACCCCTTACCAACACCTTCGATTGGGAATGCACATTCGCGTTGCACAGACAACGCGAAACAGTTGCTGCCTGAGCAACTCTGTTATTACTGTTTGCTTGGTCTTTGTGCTTCGGTAGTTGGTTGTCAGTGTACTGGATATCTCGGTCCTCGTGGCCAGCATTGTGTGAGTGAGGGGTGACTGGTTCGATGACTGGGAGTTAAGCTTAGTGACTCCTAAATACTACCTCCATGCTACTCCCACACACATTAGGTCCGAGCCCCCTCCATTCTGTTAAAGTCCGGCGTATTGTGCGGGGGACCACATCGTATGTGGCATGCGCAGATAGTCCGTTTTCAGTTCTGTCAGTCACTGTTATCGAGCAAAAGTGTGATCGTTCTGACTCATTCTTGTCACTGGAGCTTGTTGGGTGAGGGAGGAGAGAGTGCGGTAGGTGTTGTGCAAATCTGCCCTTAATAAACCAACTCACGTCGCCGGCACTGCGTCGACTCCGCGGGACACGATGAACGTTGTCGCCCGCGACGGTCAAACTCACGAGCACGGACTCAATCCACCTGAACAGCAGAGATTGGCATATGGACATTTCGGGTCGGTTAGACCTAACCTGGGCACTATCTGCGCGCGGCTGGTAGATGCGCCTGCGTGACTCCGATCGTAGGTTTGGGTAAGGGTTTAATTCGCTGAAGACGGCGTTGCTGGACTGCCTTATTGGGGCCTTCGTAGCAACCCTCACCTAGGCAAGCATGGTTGTTTCATGTGGGTCTAGGGACCACCACCAGCGTGTGACCCGTCAAACGGAGACTACACCGCACCAGTCACAACTCCCATGCCCAATCAGCTTGAATCACTCTTGTTACTGGCGAAGGAACGACGAGTGAGGCCAGTGCAGCGCGCATCTACGCCTTAGTTTGCTCGCCGTAATAGATCCGACATGGTAAAAGTTGCAGATTAGAAAGCTGACCACGGATGGGACTGACGACCAGACTGCAATAAACTCTTCTTAATGCACCCTGTATGTTACTCCAGCGCGTCTGGAATCCGAAATCCTTCCCTTTGGAACACGGCCAATGTACGTGCAGGGCCGGGCGCGCGTGCGGCCTGCGCAGACGTGACTGGAGTCCCGTCGGCCATTTCACCTACGCTTACCTCCAGTCGCCTTGACTTTTTCTTGGCAGTGGGACACGAAGGCCTTGGAAAGCGAGAATGAGGCAGCCAGAGTTAAATTCGTTCTCGCTATAGCCCCATTCTCGCGTAGGTCACAATTGTACCACCAGTTTCATCTCTTCTATGGACTGTAGGCACTACCACAATGTCACCGACTTGCCTACATTGTCAGTCCTCGTGCTAGTGGAGAGTAGCAGAATTCGCTCGTCGGATCCCTGTCATTTAAAGGCTGCATCGCGCAGTTAATACACCTGTCCCTCTTCGCAGGTCTTCGTCCTGAGTCATTTGCTTTCAGTCATTCACAAGGTTGATTTTACTTTGCAAAGTTTCTGCAAAAACCCGAATTCGCATTTTGAAGTGGATTGATGGTGTGTTTCCCGGCGGTTGGCAGATGGGTGCTGTAGAAGATCACAGCAACCGCCGGTGGAGTTCCCTGCAAGTCTTTATTTATGTGCCACTCAGTTCTGGTCATTCTGCCCCTGCAAACTGTTCGTGTAAGGCCGGAATATACATGCGCCACGAATCAGTATAGTCTCCTTGCTCTTACGCAGTTTTTGTGCCGTTATCGACCATTTGGTGTTCATCTGTCGAAAAGTCGAGAGCCAACCATACAAGTAGCACGCATCTACAAGCAGATAACCTAAATTCTGCCATATTTTTCCTATCCAGTCTGAATAGGGAGCGACATAGGCTCTGCTTATAACTGTACAGGCGCTGATACAGTTGCGTGTTTGGGACTTGAGACCTCTTGTCCTCATAACCACGCACCAGTATGATAAAAATGAACGATCACGGCAGACCCTTAACCAGGAAGATGTCTTTTGTCTCAGCTAAGTCATAGTTGCATAGCAATCTAATTGGCTTCTCGGAGCAATTTAGTTTCCTCATCTGGTACCATGGGATCGCGAACAGACCCTTACCTGCCAGGTCACGATTAATCAATGGGAGAAACGCATCTACAAGCATGGCTGGTTTTCGGCACTCATTGATGGACCTGACACATCTGTTCGCTCTGCCTCGTAGTATTTTTGGCCAAACTCCATATCCTACTTATAAAAAATTGCGAATTAAAATGACATGAAGGTGTGCCTTTGGGAAAACATTGAATTACTTGTTTGACCCCGTTCGAGACGGTTTGTAAAGCACCTGTCGAAGTGGGATGGTAGTCAACTGGAATGTAGACAAATCATAAGGCAGAAAAGACAGCTAGATGGACAGGTGTTTGTTAAGGCAGAGAGTGTACAGAGAGAGTTGCAGACAGCGTCTTCACCTGGCGACTGTCAGCCGAAGCGCATGCGCTGGGACTTCCTTCGGCTACGGCCAATCAGTGAAGAGAGAATTATCGATCGGCGCCACAGGTCGGAGGTTGAGTCAGGCGTCCTAGGCGGACCTGAGGTGGCATGTATAAGCGCAGGCGCCGAAGACTGAGAGCGAACAGCTACAGTACCCACTGCCTAGACCGGAAGGCGACGTGTAGCGACGCCGAAGGGACCGTTCATTTCTAAAAAGACATGAGTAACGAAACGGTCAGGAAATTGAACACGGCGTCACAAACGGGGGGGGGGACAGGAGGAGAGAGCTGAGTGCGGTGGAAGTTTTGGAGAATGAGGCCGCAGTTGGAGGCTGTGGACATGGGGGAGGAGGGAGTTATCGGGACGGAGGGACAGAGGGTGGAGGAGGGGAGGAACAGGGAGTAGGAAAGGTGGAGGAACCTGGGGAAGGGGTTCAGCATATTTTATCTCCGAGTCAGATCAATCAGTTCATCGGATACAGCAACTTCGACTCAAGAGCTTTGTTCGTCTGACGTTTCGGATTCTCGATCGGACCCATCACCAGAGAGTGGCAGAAACGAGCGATCCGTGCACAGGAAGTTGCAGTATTTATAGGATGCAGTCGCTATGCTGCTGCATACGCGATTATCACCTCTGGCGAGATTTTCGGCTTCATCGGACTTGAATATGTGGCCGGGTCTCGTCGAATGGGCCGCGACCTAGGAGTAGGCGTCATTTCTCCGCACCGCTGCCGCGTGTTCGGCGACTCGCATCCGGAGCAGTCTTTCACGTTCTGCGAAGTAGTTGCTTTGCCTGCAATTGCGCCAGATCTGGTAAACGACTTCAGATGTTCCTTGCCGTGGCAGTGGGTCTTTTGGTCTCATCACCTAACGCCTTATGGTGGCTTCCAGCCTGGGGGCAACTCCAACCCCGAGTGGTGCGAGAAGGTGACCAACGGCCTCGGAGACGTTCTTGATGTACGAGATCGCTCGCCAGAATTTGGGGTCGGTACGATTTTGTTGCTCGTCTAGTTTGCGCATTCCACCGGTTAACGAAATTGCGCGGGTGACCATTTTCTCCGCAAATCCGTCGAAGAGACTGGAATTCGGCAACCTTGTCTTCCGGTTCACTGCAGTGCGTCTCAACACGCCGATATAGCGTCCTTGCACAACTGCGTTTGTGGCTGATTGGGTAGTTGCTGTTAAATTTCAGTATTTGCGACGTGTTCGTCGCTTTCCTGAACACTTTGGTCTTTAGGCCACCACAATCTTTGAGACAGACGAGGACATCAAGGAATGTCAGCTGGTTATTATCTTCCTCTTCCACCGTAAATTGTATGTCCGGGAAGAGGCTGTTGAGACGTTCTTTGCACATTAGCACCTGATCTCATTAGATGATCACGGAGGTATTGTCCATATACGGAGTCCAGAATTTCGGTCTGTGGTGTCGGAAGACCAGCGACTCCAATCGTTGTAGGACCGCCTCGGCTATGAGTCCCGAAATTGGCGAACCCACTTGTTATTTCCTCCACCCTGTTCGTAGATTGTCCCGTCGAACAAGAAGTACGTCCTGAGACAGAACTGTAGGAGCTGAAGGACTTGGGCATGTCCGAGACGATTGTCCGTTTCATTGTATTTGCGTCGTAGGAGTAGCTCGACGGTCTCGATTGCCAGATCCTGAGGGATAGAAGTAAAGAGGGACGTGACATCAAAAGATACCATGACCTCATTTGGCAAGAGACTTACTCCTTTAAGCTTCGCCAGGAATTGTGTTGACGAACAGACGGTGGTGTCTGAATCAGCGGTCAGAAATTTGAGAAGCTGGAACAGCCATTTTGTCAGTCCGTACGTTTGAGTGACTTTGAGCGACACGATGGGCCGTAGAGCAGCGCCCTCCTTGTGCACCTTGGGGAGGCCATCGAACCGGGCCAAGGCCGTCTCTCGAACCAGATGGTCTGGCAATCATCACGCCAGCATCCAACACGGGTGATGAGATTTCAGCAGTTAATAACTTGCATGCCGACCATCAAGCCATTAGCGCACCAGCGGCCAACAATCCTCGGTGAAGGGGAGAGCGGTTAATTACCATAGGTATTCAGTAGCATAGCGGCTGCATCCTATAAATACTGCAACTTCCTGTGCATGGGTCGCCCGTGTCTGTTTCTGTGTTTGATGATGGGTTCGAGCGAGAATGCGAACCGTCAGGTGAATAACGGTCTTGTTCCAGCGATCGCTTCCACTTCTTATCAACTAGTCCCTGAAACTCGCATATTCGCTCGTGTGGGCAGATTTGACTCAATCAAACCTCCTCCTCACTGCGAAGGATCCGGCAGGTCTTCATATTGCATTAGAGCACTGGAGACGGTTCTTCGTATGGTGGTTCCGGCGGCTCACGCACACGGTTACACTAAACACATGAGTGCAGTAGGCCAGGGTTTTCTCGACATAAAACTCAGTTGATGACATTCGCGGTGGGTCCGGGGACAGAGAACGCATACAGTAGGTGGGCTAACTCATGAAATGTCAACCGGAATTCCGAAATGCGTTTCCGTTTCGAAAAGATTAATTAAGTAGGGTTGTAAAACTATTCAACAGGCAGAATAATTCTAAAATAATTCAGTTACCTTAGGATGCCGGCTTTCGAAGGAACTTCTTTCCGGCCGCATACGAAAACTACATTCCGTAACAAACGATTACTTAAGTAGCATGAATTTTTCTCGTTGACTTTCGATGCACCTAAGAATTCAGATATATTTTGCAGAAAACATGCATAAAAATACTCATTCTTTTGCTTATCCGGTAGACATTTACGTCTTATTCCAATTTTATACTCGAAGAAAGGGTATAATTTGGTTTTAAAAAAGTTTCCAATTGTGAGATTTTTTATATCGTGAAATGGCCATTCATAAAACGTCATGTCTCTGCATTTACCAATGTGGCTTGTAAAATTAACAATATGGATCAAATTCACTGCCAAATTTCATGAACCGAATATATTATATTCTTAATACCGTAGGGAAATATATAGTTTTCCTTACGCGGAAAATATAGGGCTTGTAGTTTGGAAACCGTGAATGCAAGTGTAACGGCAGGTCGGGTTTAAAATTATTCGGGAATTGCAAAAGTTTTTAAAAACCGAATAATACCCTTCCTTCGAGTATAAGCTTGGAAGAAGACGTAATTGTCTACCGAATGAGCAAAAGAATGAATATTTTTATGCATGCTTTACATGAAATATAGTTGAATTTTTAAGGACAACGAAAATCAATGCAAAAAATACATGCTACTTAAGTAGTCATTGTTTACGGAGTGTAGTTTCTTTATGCGGCCGAAAAGAACTTCGTTCAAAAGCCGACATCTCGGTTTAACTGAATTATTATAGAATTATGCTGCATGATTAGTTTTACAACCCTATTTAATTAATCTTTTCGAAACGAAAACCTCTTTGGCTGCGCTGAAGTCCAGATCCGACTTCAGTGTCGCGCGAATGCCAAGAATTGCAAGGAGAGCAAGTTGTCAGACCAGTTTCTTGGGTTCTTTAATGCGTCCAGTGCGGTCTTTAACTGGTGGTGGAAACGCTCGACCATGTCGTTGGCTGCTGGGTGGTAGGTTCTCTTCTGAATGAGCCTGCAGCTAGATAAGATGTGGAGAGCTTGGATGAGGACAAACTCAAGCTGGACACCTTGACCAGTCATAACCGTCGATAGGGAATTGAGAATGACGACCTAGCAACTGACGAAAGCTTTGGCAGTGGTATCCTCCTCTACATTCGACAGAGGGGTTGATTCAGCCCAGCGGGTGTACTAATCGACACGGGTAAATAGGTGAGCGTAAGCGTTGGATGTGGACAAGGGGGCCGCGACATCTGCGGAACATGGTTGAACCCTGCGTCGGGGCCAAGGAAGGTGCGCGGTGGAGGCCTATTTGTTATGACCCGGCCTGGTACTTGAAAGCACGTGGGAGCGTATGCGTACCCTACTCTTGTTCTCAATACCAACGCGGCAGAGAAGGAGAACGCGACCGACCACGAAAATATATATTAGGAAATTCCAAGTCAAGGTTAACTGGAAGTAACGCATATTTATAACGCCCTACTATGGTTCGCCGGCATTCGGCCCAATGCCCTTCGGGAAGAACATTCCAGACGAGCTGATCGATAATTCGAATACGCGGATCGATCAGGCCCGAGGGGGAAAGCCAATGGAGAGGCGCCACGATTAAGGTGACAGCGCTGTATAGAAAACGTACGTGGCCTCCAGTGATTGGCTGGCTCTTGTTTTTGGGATTGTAGGCACTCCAAACACTACTGTAACACTGTGCCTTGTGCATCTGGCAGGTCAGACACGACCGTGCCCAAGATCCTGACATCCTTATTTATACCAGGCCAGGAGCTTTTGTGAAGTTTGTATCCCAGGGTGGGCGAGTCCATGAAGAAATTGAAGCACAGCCCGACACATCGGGGCAGGCACGGATGGCTAATGGGAAGGCCTCGAGACGCTCCAAATGACTGTGCTATTACCACTGGTTAAGGGAGTGTCTTCAAGCTGGAGACTACTAAAAGACTCATCGTCAGGACAACCGGCTCGCCCTTGCACACCCGCCATGGCGGTAAGGTCGATCCCATGTGAGGGCTGGACTGCGGTAAGGTAAGGTCTGAACGGCACATCAGCCACCTCATTCTGCGTAAACATCAGTGTGGCGGATGTCGGCGACGAATTGTGAACTATAGTCCTGTCGATGAACCTCGGGAATGTCAGGTCGACATTACGAAGGCTGTCGAGCATGCGGATGAATTCAAAGGTGTCAGATAGAGTAGTGACGGCAATTTTGGGGATATCTCCTGTGGCGGCAGATATTTACTGGAAGGTGTGCATAAAGTCGATCTTTCAGAAAATCGTTTTACGGACTCCTGAAGATGAGATACTGGATAGTTGTTGTGAATGGTGACGTTGTTTAGGGCACGATAGCCATCACAGGGTCTCCAGTCTCATGATGTCGCCTTGGACGCTATGGGCTGAGAAGACGCCCGGGGGCCCTAGGACGGTCAAATGATGCCCGCTTGCAACATGTGTTCAGACTCCGCCTTCGCGACCTCCAGGTGGGTCAGTGCTAGTCGTCAAGGCCGAGCGAACAAAGGAGGGCCTGAGATGTAAAGATGACGCACAACGTCCTGTTGGAACTCGTAACTGCGGAACTGGTAGGTGGTGATGTTCGGATGTTGAGGGTGGAGCCCGAGGTAAGCAAAAACTATGTATGCATAAAGGACAGATAAGTTGCAGGTTATAAGGGGAGCCAATCCACGAGCACGTCGACCAGTCGTGCGATCAAGCAGCCGAGGACGGGGCCAGTCCGCTTGGAGATCAAACTTAACTAGAGCTGAGGATTCCATAGAGAACTACGTCGATCATAAAGATCCAGGAGAATGAACGACGAGGACTGATGTTCAGGGTGAGAGACAGGCTGCCAAATATAGGGAGCCGGTTGGCGACGGTCAGCTAGAGTGAAAGGGACCACACTGATATGGACTCCGACGTCTTCAAGGAAATATCTGCGGGTCAGATTGTCGCTGATTTAGAAGGTACAACCAGAGCCAGGGAGATTGGCTTCACTGATCTTCGGGCTGACCTCTTTTATCCACGGGCTCTGCTTTGAGATAAAGGAGCAGTGAGATTTGGAGCGACGAGCTTGTTCACACAATGTAGTCTGATGCAAGCAAGTGGTACCTATGCTGGAGCGAGATGAATAAGTGTGCTGGGCTTGCCGGGGGCATGGCCTTGATGCGGTCGGCAATAAAGGGGATGTTGTCGAAGAGAGGCTAAATCTTGTGCGAGAGTCGCCATCTGTGACCTTGAATTCCAGACAGCAGATAGAAGAGAGTCTGAGGGGGGTAAACGCTCAAAAGGAGATAGCTTAACAGAATCGGGCATCTCCCTCAGGCGGTAAGTCATCTGGGTGAGTTGGTAGGCCGAAAGAATGTCAGGGGGCGGGGTTCAAAATAGGCTGTACTTCTGGTGGAAATTTGCCCTTTGTAAAAGTCCAACTATTACGCAGATTGGGAAGGAAAAGAAACCGGTGTTCAGAAGTGGCCTCCACTCGCCTCATTTGGATAGTTGGCGACCAGAAAGTTCTAAAATCAGAAGGCAGGAAAAACGGTTAGATGAACAAGTAATTATTGAGGCGGATAAAGTACAGACATCAGCACAAACATTTGCAGATAGCGTCCTCACCGGGCGATTACCAGCCGAAGCGCACGCGCCCGAACTTCGTCCGACCGCGGCCAATCAGTGAAGAGAGAAATATTGATCGACGCCACTGTGTTGCAAGCCAGAGGTTGAGTCGCGAGTGTCCGGCTGACCGGAGGTGACGTGGATAATCGGCGGCGCTGACGACCGTGAGAGCGGACAGCTACGCGGGAAGGTACTTATGACAGCCAACAATCTGAGCGCTCAGTGTTGCTGGAATATATCCGATATAGGCAGTTTTACATGTTTTTTTCCAAACTTCGTGCACCCAACACAACATCAGTGGAAGGTATGCACCTAAGGCATTCCGTCTACAGTGTGGATATCTAGTTTGGGCAACCTGAACAGACTTCCACCAGCTGCTACCACTTGTGCCGAAATTCTGTATTCTAAAAAAACAGTGCAGACTGTTGCTACTCGTTACACACATTGCTGGATGCGGGAGTCGTTCAGTCCTGCAGAAGCACGTCTCATATGTCGTGGTAGAATGTTCTATTTCGTCCGCCACCTGAGACGCTTTTTTGTCACTGCCACAGAGACCGCTGTCGATCATATTTTTGGCTGTTTTTCACACATCCATTATCCACGAGGTAACCCAGGCCGTCTGTTCGCATAGGTTTCCCTTCCCCTTCCGCCCTAGCACAGTCTCTATTGTTAGTGCCACAAAAGCTTTGTGACCAAGGCCCGTCGCCGATTTTCGCCTGTGACAATAGCTGAATTCAGGGTAAATCTGGAAACGGACCGGCCAGAAAGTTACCACGGCAAGCCTCTGATAACCCTCGAGCCGACCGACGTATTTACACTCGTGACAGAGAGGCTAGCAGACGTTCCCCGGTCTGCCCTGATGAGCAGCTTACTGTTTTCCGTCCTGCACGGAAAGACCGTCGCTGACACAACTCGGTCCTTTTCCTACAGCCACTGTACTTCTCCATATTCGTCACGTTTGGATCCTGCTCCCTCTCAGTGGACGTCAGGCTCCAGCCTCTCCTCAGGTGTGCCCTTGTCGTAATTGACGTCTCTTATGCCATTCCTGGCTGAAACGTCATCATCATTTCCGAACTTGCAGCCGACTACAAAATCACCAACTTCGCCGGACTTATGCCTCCTCAGTCCAGTGTTGACACATTCCCCACTACGCACTTCATCGCACTTGACTACCTGTCATCCAATATCCTCTGAGCTTCTCATCCTCAAGCCCGCGCACCTGGCTAAAATCAAGGTAGAGTTCTGGCACACGCGTGGGCCCCATAACTGTAACTGGCGGTTGGGGTCACTTCATTAATTACTGGACGCCGATCAGCGTTATCTGTGAGACTATTATCGTGTATACCATCCTCAAGACGCTACCGGTGCTCTAATGGCGAGGACTTATGCTTGCCGTTCGAGATGGTCCGGGTACTAGAGCAAATGCGTGTCCCGAGAGCTTATCCTAACTGCCATTTTTAATGCTTTTGAATTTTTGCACGTGTTACTTAGCCTGGATCCGCTGCTACAGAACCTGGTCCTGGAACAGTGCGGGTTGGTGAAACCCGTTTGGTGTGTGTATCACAGAAGTCCGAGTCGCGCGTGAGACCTTGACTCGAACAGAAGAAGAAGGTGCTGGATGTCAGCTGAGAGGGTACATTTTTTTGCACAATAAACTGGGAAACTGATTAAAATAAGTTGACAGCTAGACGAGAACACGTCCAGCGCCGTGAGAGCGGCGTCCAGAGCGTCAGAGGGGAATGAGTCACAGCCCCTTAAGCGAGGGCACGTCTTAGTCGGCCTTGAGGTTGATTGACTGGTTTGGACAGCTCTGACTGGCCGAGAACTAGACTGTGCGCACTTGCAGGTACTCGCGGTGGACGCAGCGTTGCAACAGACGCCCGGAGTAGGGCCAATACCGTTCCTTGCCTTGCCTGCGATAGTTCGACGACATAGAGGAACTGCCCCCATCGCCGCCCCGTGAGGAGGGCGCGGGCACGACTGCGTGTAGATTTATTCAAGTTTAATATTCTGTGTTCGCGTGACGGGCGTGACCTGGCTCCGACCACACATGCACCAGACTATATTTAAGGAAATCTCGGATGTCGCTTTGGTTGGAATGTCATAAAGGCCACATTAGGGGGTGTATATGTATATATTTGGAGGGTTAGAGGCAGAGCCCTTGATGACCCTATTTATGTACAGTGCTTTCGCAGATTCGTACTCGAAAATGGAATCGCAGGCATTTACAATGTGATCGGGTCACAGTTCAATCGTAATCATAAGGTAGTGCATAAGGTCACTGTAGATTAGTGCGGAGGGACTGTATACGACAGTTTTTTTTACAAAGCTGGCTGTGCGTAGTCATGTTGTAGAAGCCAATTTCTGTCTAAAACTAGGCGAGCAAGTTTTTTTAAACATACAAATTGTGTCAGCCGTTACCATTTCGCTTGGAAGCGAGTTCCACGGTCGGACAACCCGCTGGTTGAATGAAAATCTTCGACGATCTAACAGCGTGCGCTCATTCCTGACTTTGTAGGCATGGTCGCGTAGTTGGTTTGTACGGGCAAACTCAAAGAAGTCCTCCACTCTTAATGAGCAACCCTGGCCGCGGACAATCCGGAACGTCCAAAGTAGACTGCAGTTTATTTGTCTATAGGAGAGAGGGAATAAGCCAAGCAAATTCAGCCTCTACTGATAAGAAATATGCTTTAGACCGTCGACCATCTTTGTCGCTCTGCGTTGCACCTGTTCAAGTAAGTTGATATCCTTTCTCATCCACAGTGAAGCTGCTGGCATTCCATACTCCAGATGAGGTCTTACAAAGACACCAAAGAGTCTTTCGAAGAGTTCGGGAGGAAAGATTTTAAATGCACGTCTGACCCAGTGTAAAGTACTAGTTGCCTTCTGGACCATCTTTCTACAGTGTTCTGATGGCGATAGATTTGTGGTCATCCATACACCCAGATCTCTATGTCTTTCCACAGTTTCTAACCTCGTCCCGCCAATATAGTACGGGTGTTTGGGAGAGGCATTGCGGCCGGTGTTCAGGTGCAAAACCACGCATTTGGACACGTTAAACTTCAAAAGCCATCTGTTCGACCAATCACACAGTTTGTTGATGTTCGACTGCAAATTCTCTGCGTCATCATCACACTTGACTTCACTCCATATTTTTATGTCATCCGCGAACATGAGAGCCTCGCAATTCACTTCGCTGATGCAGTCATTAACATAAATCAGGAAGAGTACTGGGCCTAAGACAGAACCCTGTGGGACACCACTTTCCACCTTTACCCATTCCGAGGTAGAATTACTAACGACGACTCTTTGTAGTCTGGAGGACAGAAAACTCCTGATCCACTTAAACATTCTTCCTTGAGTTCCTACATCCCAGATCTTCTGTAAAAGAAGCCTGTGTGGGACACTGTCAAAAAACATGACATCCACTGGAAAACCCTTATCGGTAGCTCGTGTCCATTTCTCGTGCGAGTAAAGAACACTCGTTAGGCAGGAGCGCCCTGGACGAAAGCCGTGTTGGGCATCACACAATATTTTGTTCTGTTCCAGGTATTTCATCAAGTGTCTTTTGATAATGCGTTCCATTATTTTACACGCGATGCAAGTAAGACTGACGGGACGATAATTTCCGCCGTCAAGTCTTGAGCCTCCTTTATGGATCGGAGTAATGAGTGCGCACTTCCATTCTTCCGGTAGCTCGCCGTCTTCAAATGACTTTTGAAATATTGCGGATAAGGGTTTACACAGTTCATTAGCAAGTTCGCGAAGTGCTAGGGCGGGAATTCTATCTGGGCCAGGCGATTTGGCAGGTTTCAGCCGGAGTAGCTTGGCTCTAACTATGGTCAATAAAAAGAGTGGTCCCTCGGTTAAGGAGGGTAGGGAGGGGGTAGGAGGAGGAAGGGTACTAGGAGGAGAGGTTGGTTGGCGGACGGATGGATGACCGACGGATGGCCCGAGTCACTTCTTCAGTTGGCAGACTTTTAGCGCGTCAGATTTATTGTATTCAGGATGAATTTCCCAGCACTGGACTTATTCTTTCCCTTGTAAGTGATAAAGCCATTAGTTGGGCACGGTAAGTAGGCTATCCGGGAAACGAAAATAGCAGTATCCCAACAGTTACAAACTAGTAAATAAGAACAAAGTTGTCAGCAGGTAAAAGTGCACATGTGTGTTCTTTGTCTTATTCGAAGTTGTGTCAAAGCGTATTGCAACTGATTAAAACAAAACGGACTTAAATGTCACTACAATACTCCCCCTCCTAGGAAAACGGAGTTCAAAAAAATTATTGTTAATAGAAGGAAAATGTGGGAGTGTTATGCATATTGTACAAGTTGGTAACGGTCGGGAAAACGGACATGACGGCCGCTGCGCGTAAGGGGAGGAGTCTGTGAAATAAGGGAAGACGCGGGGTTATTGGGCGTAAATGGAGTCTGGGAAATAGTAAGTGGCATAGTGCCAAGTGGAGGTGGTTCGGTTGGAGAAGTTGGAAGAGGCTCGGTATAAGCCGCCTTCAAGCGATCGATTGAGACCACGTCGGTGCGGCCTCCACGGTCAATTGTAAACTGCTTGCCCTTGAGCGATAGTACTCGAAATGGGCCGTCATAGGGCTGTTGTAGTGGCCGGCGAACGCTATCTACGCGGACAAATACAAAAGAACATGGTAGTAAGTTCGGGTTGACGTACGACTTACTTGTTGAAGGACGTGGAGGAGTGGCTCGAGGATGAGTCATGGCTTGGCGCAATCTTTGCACATAATCGCTGGGATCCAAGTCGCCTGAGCTTTGAGAGTACCCGAAAAAATCCCCGGGAATCCGAAGGGTGGTACCGTAGACAAGTTCGGCAGTGGAACACTCCAAGTCGGGCTTGAGTGCGGTACGGATACCGAGCATGACCAAAGGCAGATTCTCGCTCCAATGGGAAGGGTTGCCATGAGCTCGGAGCGAGGCTTTGAGTTGTCGGTGGAAACGCTCGACTAAGTCGTTGGATGAGGGGTGGTATGCTGTCGTGCGTATGCTAGAACATCCGAGGAGGTTAATAAGGCTGTTAAAAAGTCTAGACTCGAATTGTTGACCTCCATCGGTGGTAATATTTGAGGGGACGCTATAATGAGAGATCCAGTGTTCCAAAAAAGCATGGGCAACGTAATCTGCAGTTATGTTAGGTATGGGAGTTGCAATGGGCCAACGAGTAAATCGGTCAATCGCAGTAAGTAAGTAGTTGCAACCACGAGATGTTGGAAAGGGACCTACCAGATCAATATGAACATGTGCAAAATGTGCGTCGGGTGCGAGAAAAGTGCCAATGGGGGCTTTGTTGTGCCGTCCGACTTTGGCATTCTGACAGGCCAAACATGAACGGGTCCACTGGCGGATATCAGTGTTCAAGCTTGGCCAAACGAACCGCTCGCTGACGAGGCGCTGGGTAATGCGGATGCCAGGGTGAGCTAGATTGTGCAACGCGGCAAAAACATCTCTTCTCATCTCGCTTGGCACTACGGGTCGGGAGGCAACGCGCGATACGTCAAACAAGATTGTACCGGGGTGGTGGAAAAAGGAATGGCTTCGAGTTGAAGACTAGTGTGTTGCAAGCCCTCACTGAAAGGCGGCTGATTTTGCAGTTCTGCCATGCGCTCCAAATCGATGGAAGGGCGGGTGATGGCATTAATGCCAGGCCGAGAAAGACAGTCAGCAACTTGATGATAAAGGCCTTTAAGAAATCGAATGTCGGTGGTATACTGAGAAATAAAATCGAGATGGCGGGCCTCGCGGGGTGAACACTTGTCAGAAGAAGTAGAGAGGGCATAAGTAAGAGACTAGTGGTCAGTATAAATACAAAAATCTCGGCCCTCAATATAATTACGAAAATTCTTAATGGCTAAATAAATTGCACGGAGTTCTCTACCAAAAGTGCTATAGCGAGTTTGTGGGGGTGTCAATTTGGCAGAGTAGAAAGCCAAGGGCTGGGTGCCAGTGGGCGTCTGTTGCTGAAGGGCAGCACCTATAGCGAAATTAGAGACGTCGGCCACAATGGAAAGTGGGGCATCAGTTATAGGGTGAACAAGGACAGTTGTATCCGCAAGAGCCTTCCTCGCACGATTGAAAGCCTCTACAGCTGTGTCAGGAAAACAAAACTCACGGTTGTTCCCGCGTAAAAGGTTAGTAAGTGGTAGCATTAATTGAGCACAATGAGGGATGAAACGTCGATAGAAATTGACAAGGCCTATAAAACGGCGCAGTTGTTGAAAAGAAGTGGGAGTAGGGAAATCGAGAATAGCTGTATCCCAACAATTACAAACTAGTAAATAAGAACAAAGTCGTCAGCAGGTAAAAGTGCACATGTGTGTTCTTTGTCTTATTCGAAGTTGTGTCAAAGCGTATTGTAACTGATTAAAACAAAACGGACTTAACTGTCACTACACCCTCTTCCGAACCCATCACCCAACTAATGATGAGATTGGGCGCAATGGATGACGAAGCTAAACAGCCAGCCTACGCGAGTTACGCAGATACCAGGCTACATAAAAGGTCATGTTTCACACGCCTGTGAGGCCTGCAAGTTCTCACATGCGAAATTTCGCTCATTATGTTGAACTAGGCGAATTTCGTTAAATGCGTCTTACATGACTATTGCGTGCTGTGCATATGCGGGCAAACCTAAATGTTGTTAGGGGGTTTCAATTGTGCTACTTTACTGGAGGCTACCATGCGTGCGTATGCAGTTGAACAGACTTCTAGTGAGTCTGTCATGAAGGTGGGAATTTCTACGAGAGTTCCCAGTGGTCGGCCACACGACAAGTCCCAGATTACAAGTCAGGGAAGGCAGATTACGCTTGACAAGCCTTACTGCTGTTAAAGAGCGTAAAGGAGGCCCAGCAAACAGCTGCCACACGCCGTCTCTCTAAGCGTGTTGTTTATTCTTTGTCCACCCTCGAGGGTCTTGCCCCCCAGTGGAAATTCGTGTCTGGGCTGTGTCCTTCTGCAGCCAGCCAGCGGGGGCAGTTTTGACTGGCTTTGAGCTTTCGTTGGACTGGTGACAAATCCCGTGTGGTCCACGCAGCGAAATAACAGTGAGCTTGGTACAGAAGAAGGACAGCATGATAAAGTGGTCGCGAATAAGTGGGTGGACTGTCACAACCCTACTCCTGGCGCTTACTGCGACACCGAGCTCTCGCGCGTACTTGAACGTGCGTGCCAGTAGCATCCTCGCTCTCAGCCAGTCGCAATTACCCTAACCGACATGCTTTCACTCAAGGTGCTGTGACGCCCACCCCGATGTCATTCAGACGTCTGCTCCCGCGGTGCCGGATGCGCGTCCTCATTCGGCTGTCAGCTTGCTTCAACCCACATACTGTACATTAATTAATTTCGGAATACAGTGCTCTCCCTCCTGGAGTTCATCATCATCATCATCATCATCATCATCATCATCATCATCATCATCATCATCATCATCATCATCATCATCATCATCATCATCATCATCATCATCATCATCATCATCATCATCATCATCATCATCATCATCATCATCATCATCATCATCATCATCATCAGCATCAACTTCTTCTTCTTCTTCTTCTTCTTCTTCTTCTTCTTCTTCTTCTTCTTCCATTTACAACCAGACCTAGAAGACGTAGTGGCAAGGGTCCCTCCATGGCCGAAGCTGCCGCGACAAGCCCATGCGATGTTCGAGTGTCTTAAAAGAGTGGGGGCTCGTTAGACATGTCTGGTAGGTGTATGTGAGGTCCCTAAACACCGGTTCTCCTGACACAGAGCGATCGATTCGCAAGTGGACGATCATGATGATACGTAATTCGGAAGAGTGGTCTCGATGGAGATATTTTGGAATCCAGGGTACAATGCCAGTGGGCAGAGCGATGGCGATAACGTGGGCAAGATGGGAGGGGTGCCTCCATGAACGATAGTATTGGCGATGGCTTTAAGGAGATGAGAGGCAGGTTGATAGCATCGGCATTACATTGGATCAGTAGCTGTTCAGCGGGCCAATCCGTGCCCGGAATATCAATTGACAGAGTGGTCAAGATGGCAGGATTTGGGTGCTTGAGTCAATAAGTCATCGTACTTCAGTCCCGAAAGCCTCCACTTTGTTAATAGCCGCGGCTTTTCGGTTAGCTTCAAAGATGGTTGTTACAGTCAGTACGACAGCAAGCCATGCTGCAAATTCTGTGCTGGATTTTCCCAAGTCTCAGAGCGGATTTGCAGATACTTAAGTGAGGTCCTTGTATCGATATCTTTGTCTGCTACGTCTGCGCCTAGCAGCTGAAGTGAAAATAGCTCAACCTTCTTGATTGAATTTCATGGACCATCCAGTTCTCGGCCCCGTGTGGAAACGAATCAGAAAAGCAGTCCTATAATTCTCTAGTTTGAGGTTAGGTTAGTGCGGCGACGATTCTGGACTGTGTTGCAGCCTGCCGACTGTTTGGCTGACTGTGGAGATTTTACCAGTGATCTGCTTGATGATTTAGGCGTTCCCAGATGTCGGACCCTAGTAGGAAATAAGATTTTGAAAAAAATACTTGGGCCTATAACTGTGTGACTGGTTTCATTAGGACTAGTGATGATTTCATTGCGAAATATTAATGCGTCAGGCAATGAATTAACTGGTGAACTCATCTATATACATGAACTTCTAAAGATAGTTCCGAGGATTGCTTAATTTAAGCAGGCTAAATTACCATTTCACATGACACATTTCAACACATGTCTATTCAGAATAACCTGGCGCAATGTTAGTAGTACATTTGATAACGAAAACTTGCAGTGTGTGGGAGGAAATTCCAATCCCTCTTGGGCAATTCAGATTTTCTATATATTCGCGGCTAACATTCAGACCATATGCAGGGAAACGCTGAGATGTCAAGTCATTTAACGCCACTTTTCTTAAAGCATAGAATTGTTGCTTACCTGTTCAAAACTGCGATTGTTATCAGCGAATTAAACCGTGGTATTTGGTTTTCGACTCGGCCCACTGGACCGTGATACCGCCCTCAGTTATGACTACATGGTGGAAGGGTTTTGAAAACTTACTTATCCGTGCACGACGCGTTGCAGTCGAGGACGTAATCTGTGGCCAAGCCAGTGATGGGATCGAATCACACGAATGTTATCCCTCACGTCGTTTCACTTCCTCATACCAGGTACGTTCAGTAATTTCAAAGTGTTTGGTTGGATCTACTTGGTAAGATTTTTGCCTGAAGTTAGACCACGGTGGTCAGTGATGGCGAGATTTAAGTGCACGCGTCTGTCTTTGATGATACCTCCCCACAGCGGTACTATGTTCCTATCAATCTTGTCTAGCCAGTGCCTTCCTTAAATGTCCGATCTTTTCCTAAGACACACCCATGCATTTATATTTCAACTCATTCTACGGTTGATCTGGGGACTCTGGGATCTACAATCATCTTCGGGCTGCGTGCATATCCCACGGATGACATTTCGTTTCGAGGGACGGAATGAGACCTGACTATCAATCAAACAAAACACCATTACAAAAAAATATGTTTTCCAGTGAGTCCACAGTTAACGCGCCCCCCAATTTTTGTGACTTACTGGGATTTTGAAAAATGCGAGTGACGCACATCCACGCAGACATTAAGGTCAAGTTGAACGATATATGGCGCCATCAAAATCGTTCTGCAGTATGTCTTAATGAAAAAACAGACAACCAGGAAGTTCAACTTTTTTATTGCTTCGTAGAATACCGTAACTCTGCAAACTCAGCCGCAGGGTGCACACGTTATTCTTTGTAACTGGCCGCAAGCGTGTCCTCCTGTTTGACCACTTTTTTCTAGCCGGAAATGAGCCCACGCTCGGCGCTGACCTCGGCTAACTAGTAGGAAAATTTCAATAACCAGAGAAGTCAGTCTGACCCCCAATACTATTAGCAACTCCTACCTAATTGTCAACTTGAACTGTCACCCCAAATCTGTCATTCTATCCGATGTAATTACGAAGTTCCGTCATCTAGACACCAGTGAATTTGCTATCGAAGAGTTACGCTCACCTTTTGCTTGCATATTTTAGGAACCATCGACCGTCAATCGTTGAGGCATGATGATCGGCGTCCCACAAATTTAACAGTCGTCCATCCAACCCTCCTCGTGACTACTCATATCCGGCCTCTTGGTAGTAACCACCCCTTCCTCTATGACAGCAGCCGGGATCGAAAACGCTAATACATTTTACAGGACGAACATACAACGATCGACCCAATTGCTGTGTCTTTGAACTTTGATTAGTATTTTAAAAAAGTCCCAGTTTATAGACTCTCGCTTCTGACTCATTAGGACTCCTGTTTATCATTTTCTTGTGCATGTATAAAACCTCACGTCGTACCAAAGACGTAACAGCTATGATCACAGTCTCATATTTTCAAGACTACTAAGACCATCCGGCCGCATCCGGGTAAATTAGTGCTTCGTTTCTAGTCCTTTCCCAATTTCTTCCATGCAATTGCCATGTTTCAAGCAGTACTAAGACACCATACTTGGCGTTATCACCTAATTAATCACTACGCCTGCATAAGAAACATTTCTGACTTGAAGCAACCGATTTTAGGGTTGAATACAGAAATCAACTCATTGACGAGAGCTAGAGGGAGCTACCAACCAGTTCCAGATAGTGCAAAACGCCCACTCTTAAACATATTTTTTTGCATCTAAATGAAGTTGTTAAGAAATGATGTGGAATTTCATTTAAACTAAGGTCGTTGACAAGAATTTCCTTAAAAATCCTGTAAACAGATCGGCTGTAGCCCTTTCTACCTTCCGAAAATTTCCTTGCAAACAGCGCTTGGCTGAATGAACAAGACGTCGTTGTTAAGGGTTCAGTCAACACGTGAAATAAGACAGTCTTTCTTAGCGATGCTTATCAGTGCCTTCTTCCTCATCGAAAAGAAGTTAATCCAACTCAACATTAGACGAAAAAACCTTGTTTAAATGTTTTCATTCATGATATTTCTTTACAGGGTCACGGGGGCATATTTTGAATTGACGGACGCGAAAATACATGGATGTGCAGGGAGCGGAGTCATGTTTTAAATTGCTTGAGCGAGCACACAGCACTTTGGAAGAGTATGAGTTTCTCGTTAAATTTTTGAAATGCGTCGGAGGGAAGGGCACTCTAAATGGTCCTTGCGAGTCTTTATTTAACATTGAAGACGAGGAATTATTAAAAGTTCAAGAAATCGCAAAAAAGTTCAATATTTGTTGGTCACATCAGGCGCCATTAGACTGGTAGGTATTTTAGCCCCTGGCTGTTTTTACTGTATTGCATCTTCGATATTAGTTTAATTTTAACGATAAATATATATTATAAGGTGCGCACAGCAATTTTAATTGGGTAGTTAGTAATTTCAGTAACTTGCAATATATTTGCACCTTACGTCAAAACCAAGAATCATTGCATGAAAGAAAGTGCACTTAAACTTTTGGATATGCGGTAATGCTAAAGGAACAAAAGCTATACATTTAAGTAGCACCTGAATATTTGTGTATTTTAATTTTCATCTGCAAATCAACGAATATCTTCATTTTTTGAAATTACGGACGCCAGCGCCAATTAATAATTTAAGTATGATTTCAAAAGTCGGGTTTGGTTATTTTAGCATTTTATAACAGACCTGTCGGCAAGTATCCATGGGCACATGGGAAGTCACGTGATTTTGGCCAAAATATTTGCCGTCATACGACGATTTGGCATAACGGATATCAGAAGGATGTCACATTCTCTAGTCATGAAATCGTTTTCAACTTGCACCAAATGATGACTTTGTGCTCGTTGGCAGAAATGAACTTACGTCCACCCTTAACATTTTACAAGACGTCAACGTGTTCATTATGTGTTGCCTTCATACGAATTCCAATTTGACCTGGACGGCATGCGGAGGTTCTAATCTTTAAGTGATCCGTTCTTCTCTTTTCAATAGGTTTGTTTTTTACCTGTTTGCCCGTCGATATGAGAGCGAATGGACAAGTTCAAGAGGTACTGCGGTGCAAGTCGTCGCCCTAAACCCAACCATTCAATTCCGCCAATCGACATTTGAGGCTGAAGAGCAATTTTTTCCTCGCATCAAAAATGTGATTTCAGGCATAATCTCGTGGTAAGTTCTTTTTAACAAGCGAAGGTTTTTGCCAGTATAAGCACAGTTGCACTAGGTAGCCTGTCACTCGCCACCCTGCTTCTTAAGGACTTAAAATAGCAACGCTTTTACTGCTTTAAAAGGTGAAATAACAGTCTATTTCCAAATCACTATATAGTACTTGATAAAGTTGAAAATGCTAACGAAAAGCAAATTCGTTTTGGTGCTTGTGGTCATATCAAAAAACAGAAGACTAAGTCTACTTAACGTCAAAAAATCTTCCCTTATTTTCCATTACTTTTATTTGATACGTGCAGAGCAGTTTTATTGGAAACGAGATTGTTAATAGGCCGCTTACTAGAGCCTGTCTGTTAAATAGAAGACAAAGCGAAGTTGCAATCATTGGTAAAATGATTTGCAAGAGCATTATTCTGAACACTTGCCTAGTTTTGCCACAGTCTGTTATGTTGTCCTCCGGATTGTATGGCAATCCAAATCACCCCTGATGTTCA